TCCTGCCAGCCCTGCCCTCCCTGTCCTGCCAGCCCTGCCCTCCCTGTCCTGCCAGCCCTGTCCTGCCAGCCTTGCCCCTCTTGCCCTGCCCACCCTGTCTGCCCACCCTGTCCTGCCAGCCCTGCCCGTCCTGCCCTGCCCACTCAGCTCTGCCTGCCCTACCTGTCGTACCCGCCGGACCTACCCGATCTGCCCACCGGCCCTGTCCACGCCCCTGACCAGTCGGAGGCCACCTGACAATGCGGCTCCGCGCTCGCGTAGAGCTGTCCTGCGTGTCTGAGCACGCAGCCCGCTCCTGGCTCAGYCCCGACTTTCCCTTCCGCCTCAGGCCGCCGTATAAGCATAGGGTCAGTCTCGGGGAGTGTTCAGTCCATATTGTCTGTGAAATGTCACTCGCGAGTGAAGGACACAAGCACAGCGTGTCCCCGAGTCCCACGGGTTCTGCGCACAATCCACGGGACGCTAGGMGAGCTTCTCAGTTACACGATGTCTTCTGGAGCTGCCTTTACACAGACGGGGTTTGATTCAAACAACAAAGCCCGCGCCCGGTCGCAAAGGGCCTCGGCCGATGGTGCAGTTTAGGTCGCAACTGCGGCAGGCTGCCGAGCTGGTCCAAGGTCAGGGTCCCGAGGTCCCCGTGCTGCTTCAGAGAGAAGGTGGCAGTCAGAGAGAGGCAGCACCAGCCCGTGACCTGAGAGCTCAAGTTCAACGCCCGCAGTGCTCATCCGCCCGTGGCCTCTGCACGGAGGCCACGGGGACAGCCCCGACTCGAAAAGGATAATTTTAGGTTGGAGTAACTAAAGACATGAGAAGCKGTGGTATAGGTCTGAAGGGGGAAATAGTTAAACAAGTCTCCACGTGCTGCTGTTAAATCTTTTCGTTATCATAACTGGATAATTTTTAAAGAGGTAGGGGAAATAAAAGTTCTACTGTTCTTCTGTTCTATTTAGCTATTTTAAGTCCGTACAAGTTAAAAGGTAACAATGGAATGCAGTGGACACGGGACAAGGTTTGGGAGAAGTATAAATCGAGTGGTTTTGTTTGCGTTCTCTGTTTGTCCATGACTAGATTTTTTTTTTTTCTTTCAGCAAACACTAACATGAGAAGCAACTTCTTATAGGCACAATTACTGTCRGCAAATTCTAGCGAGGGAAGGGATAAAAAATCAGGGGGGTTACTGTAACAGGCGGATACTGGGCAGATACTAAACCCCTTTGCTAAAAGATTTAGTGGAATTCTAACTATATTGAGTCACGGTCCATGCACTTGACAAAATGAGATAATTTCAGGACTAAAAAAAAAAAAAAAAAAAAAAAAAAAAATAAGAAACCCCCAGTCTCTTCTTTCGGGGAGTCACAAGCACTCCTGCAACGATGCTATCTAGTTCATGTATTCTGTAGATTCCCGTGCAATGTKTCAATGGAAAACGCGGCTTGACTCCGCGGGGCGCTGGGCACCCCGGAAGCGCTCCCGAGAGGAGATAAGGATTGYCTCGCAGGCAGAGAGGCCCGGCCAGCACGGCCGGTCCTCCTGCTCTGCCCGACATSGAGCGATGGGAAATGTTCTCCCTGGGCAAAGGAAGCACCAGGCTGCTCGGGGGCTCTGCACTGTGTCCCGAATGGTCCCCGGACCCGGGGTTGCGGGACGCATCCCGCCACTTGTAAACTGGGTGGGTGTTCTCAGAGAACCGACCTTTGCTCATGAGATCATTTATTCCTGTGCATAATATCCTGCCATACAAGACTGTGCTGTGTTCTACACCCTTCACAAAGCGGCTCATTATAGAATTGGAATTGTTGGTCATAAACCCGCCCAAAGAGTTTTTTGGTACACCGAGAGGCTCTCACTGGAGCAGGGGTCTCGGCAGGGCAGAAGACCTCTACGGGAGTCTCTGCGGCTTCACTGTTTTTTGTTTTGATGCGATCGACCTTAAAAAGTTGGGAAACCCCGACCTTTAGGTGTTCTTTTCTTTCGGCGGCCTTACATGAAATATCCTGACACGAGAGAAATTTTCACTGCATTTATTGAAAGAAGAAACACAACAGGACGTGGGAATACAAATAGAAAGATGTCCGGAGAAATAAAGTTCTTGGTTTCTCTGGACTTCTTCTTTTTTAGCAATGTTTTCGCTAGAAAGTTGTTTGCAGGAGCATAAAAGGGTGAGAAAATCGTGCTTCGACAAAACGCCCTTCTAATTTACGGGAGATTTAATGTCCTGAGAGTAAATACCGATTCGGCTTATAACCGAGTGAAACACGTAMTCAGGCCTGGCTCACTTCTTAGCTGATTATAAAACATAAATAGCAATTAAGTGGTCGGAGCTAATAAACATGAGCTCGTCTATGCCATCCTGTTGTTGCCGTAATTACTGGCATCCATTTGTCATTCCAAATCTCGCTTCCAAATACCGCCGACTGTTGATAGAYCGGCGACAAAGTAGGTCTGCGGGACGGGCGGCTGCTGCTGGCGGGCTATCCCGCGACAGCCCAGGGGTCCGGGGAACTCCGCCACCATCTGCCCAGGCTGCTCAGCAAGGACACCCCCGGAGCCCCTAAATGGTGTCGGCACAGAGTTTCCCCTCCATGGCGGCTGCCTCTCTCATGTCCCTGAGCCTCTATAGGGACGGTAAACACAGCCCCAGCTGTATGGTTTTCAGCGGCGCCGAGTTTCCCTGCCCTTCCCCGCGAAGCTGACGCTTCTCCCAGCAACTTCTGGCCCTCCGCGTCCAAGAGAGAGCTAAGTGTGCAATACACAACTGCGGAGCGACTGGAGTCGGTCCAGAGGGGGTAGGGGTTCGGGTTGTGGTTGGGGCTGGAGCTGGGAGTCGACTTTGGAGCATTCTCCATTTCCAGTACTTCGCGCTCCTGAATTTCCATCCTGACTCAGTGGCAGAGTCGAGAGAGACGACAGAAGGATTTGGCACCGTCTTGAGAAGTCATCACGAGAAGAGCCGTCAGCATAAGCAARCTGCGTTTTAACTAGGCTGCCTTACCGTGACATGAACCGACACTGCAAGGGGGAAAAAAAGCCACATCTAATGAGTGCCAGGTTTACCATCCTGCGCTGCGCACAAGCACAGACACGGTGCCTTTTCCTAGCCGGTAGCAATATCAGGGGGAGCTAAAGAGAGGGTTCTCCCAGGGACCGATAGTGCAGTGAAGAGACCCCTTTTCCCATATAACAAAGACCTTTTACTCCAAATATCGCCTGGAAGAAGAGAGGTGGCGAGGATGGAATACAAAGACATGTGTTGAGGTTTTCCCTCTCTTGCAGAGACAACAATGAGCTGGAGAAGGTCTCGCTGTGGATCCGGTGAGCCCGCTGTCCGCGGCTGTAAAAAGGGCCCCTGCCCGCGGCCTCAAAAGGTCCAGTGGTACTCGGCTGGCCCTTTTGAAGCCGCGGGCAGAAGGAAGGGAGGGATGAAGGCAWCGGGGGCTTAGGTTGGTCCGGAGGGGCATCACCGCCGCTCGCCCGCCCAATCCTCCCCACATTGCAGCGCCGGGGCCGTGGCGGGGCGGGAGCGCGGCGGCGGGGCGGGAGTGGGAGTAGAGGGTGGGGGCGCCGTCGGTGCGAACCGGGRGCTGCGAGGCGAAAGGGGCAGTGCGGGCAGCGGGAGGGTCACATGTTCCGATGGCAGCCTATGAGCAGCCCCCCGGGCTGAGGCAAACTAATCTGGGACCGGCCGCCCCCACCCCGGTCCCCCCTCCCAACCTGGACTTCGTTTTTATAAACGTACCGCCAGGATCCAACCTGTTGGAGGMAAATAACCATCCGCATCATGCCCGGCCGGGGACCGAGCCGTGGCCGCCGCCGCCCGCGATGTGCAAGGCCATGAGCAAAGCAGCGAGCTGGGAGATGGACGGACTGCGCGGCGACAGCACCGGCGGCGGCGGCGGTGGCGGCGGCGGCGGCGGAACCCCCGGGCAGTGCCGTAATTTTCTCTCCTCGCCCGTTTTCGGGGCGGCCCACACGGGCCGAGCGGCCGCCGCCGCCGCCGCTGCCGCCGCCGCCTCGGGTTTTGCCTACGCCGGCGGAGGGGAGCGCTCGGGGGCGGCGGCGAGGCCCGACCCCCCGACCAAGGACTGCCCGGGCTCCGCCACGCCGGCCGCCGCCCCCGCTCTGGGCTATGGGTATCACTTTGGCAATGGATACTATAGCTGCAGGATGTCCCACGGGGTTGGGATACAGCAAAACGCCCTGAAGTCTCCCCCCCATGCCTCCATTGGCGGCTTTCCCGTGGAAAAGTACATGGACGTCTCCAGCTTGACCAGCACGAGTGTCCCCGCCAATGAAGTCTCCTCCAGGGCAAAGGAAGTGTCCTTCTACCAGGGCTATACAACCCCCTACCAGCACGTTCCTGGGTACATAGACATGGTCTCAACGTTTGGCTCTGGGGAACCGAGACACGAAACATACATATCAATGGAGGGCTATCAGTCTTGGACTCTGGCTAATGGCTGGAATAGTCAGGTTTACTGTGCCAAAGATCAGACACAGAGCTCACACTTCTGGAAATCGTCCTTTCCAGGTACGAGAGGGGGAGAAATGGTCTGAGCCGAGCTCCCCCGCGCCTCCTCCGCCTTCCCGTCCCCTCCCCCGCCCCCCGGGCTGCAGGGGCGGCCTGCCGAGCTGGACACGCTGCACAGACACTCATAGAGCAGGGTGGGGGCGGTGGATTTTCTCTTTTTCTCACTCCCCCCTCGGTCGTCTACCCCCGAGAAAATCTCACCCTCTGCTTTCCGTACCCGCGGGACTGACCCCAGAACCTCCCCGCCACCAGCGCCAGGGCACCGGCCCCCCAGCCCGCGGGCGCCGGGGCGGCCTCGGGCTCCTTCTCCCGCTGCTTCCCTCGGTGGCCGGGTTTGTAGTCGCGTTTGAAGTTTGCAGGACGATGGCTCGAAGGCTTGCTCTCCTCTGCCTCTCCGGYTGGCGACGGATCGGGCGGCCGCAGAGCACTTAAGAGACCGCGAGCAGTGAGGGCACAGAGGCACAAGCCACATGCAAACAAACCCGGGAAAACTCTCACCAAAGCCATTTCTATGTGCGCGCTGCCAACATCGACCCGCTCTCAGCCCTCCAACCAATGCCCCCGCCGCTCTGCATGCTCGGTTAGCGATGCGTGCCTGGGAAGTGATGACAGTCCATCAAAGTTTTGGTGGTGCTTTACTAGAGTGCAAATAATGTGGCAGTGTAAATAATAACAAACTGTAAACAACCCGGCATTATTTATTTGCCCATGAAAACCAGTGCCCGACAAATATCAGTTAAGCTTTAAACGCCTGTAATAAAATACTAATTTTTCACATAATGTCTTTTACAATAGGGGACGTTGCACTAAACCAGCCCGATATGTGCGTCTACCGGCGTGGGAGAAAGAAGCGAGTGCCGTATACAAAACTGCAGCTTAAAGAACTCGAAAATGAATATGCCATTAACAAGTTCATTAACAAGGACAAGAGGCGAAGGATATCCGCAGCCACAAACCTGTCTGAGAGACAAGTTACCATTTGGTTTCAGAACAGGAGGGTGAAGGACAAGAAAATAGTCTCCAAACTGAAAGACAAYGTATCCTGATATATTACTTGCGGACAGTGATGAATATATAAACTCAATTTACAACCAGCTAAAGACTTTTGGAAAGACTTGAAAATATATTTAATTTTTTTTTTTTTTGTCCTTCCAGCGGTGGCGAAATTTCGGGAATTGTTTTCAGTGAAAGTCAGCGTTTTTCTCTCAGTGTAAGGGAGTGTTGACAAGTCTTGAATTGAATTCTTATTCTTCTTTTTGATAATAATAATAATATTAATAATAATTATATTTTCTGTTCTTCCCTCTAGGCCAGTATAAACGAATTTAAATATGTTGAACGGTAACAGTTATAACTTTTTTAATGCTTAACTCTTTGGGGGGGTATTCTGTAATTTTTTTCTTCTCTGAGCAACAGCCAGTGCCAAAAAGTGTCAGTTTTGATTTGGTATCGTAAACTTCAAAACGCGTCGAGTGAAAAAAAAAAAAAAAAAAAAAAAATCGGAAAAAAAGGAAAGCCGGAATAGGGACCCGTGGCAGAACCNTTTTGATTTGGTATCGTAAACTTCAAAACGCGTCGAAAAAAAAAAAAAAAAAAAAAATCAATCGGAAATGAAGGAAAGCCGGAATAGGGACCCGTGGCAGAACCCGGCTTCTGCCAAATCTGCCTGGTTCATCGGGACCCGAAGAGAATTGTGTGGAGTGTTACTGGCTGCAGGAAAAATTTTAACTGCTTTTCTGARTGAGGGAGAATCCCTCCGAGCTGTTGCGGGGCGCGGAGTCCCAGGCACGTCCCAACGCACTCCCCGCTTCTGAAGGTTTGGGTCTGAGGTTGGTTTTGTGGGTTTTTCCGCCGCAGTTTCGTTTTCAGTGCAAGGAGCCCATACTGCCCATCCAGTTGGCAAAGGAGCCGCCTGTCCCCGGGAAGAGCTTGAGTCGCACGGCGGCTGCCAGGCTGAGCGCTCCGCGGGCCGCGCTWTCGGCATGATGGAATTGCCATCTCCTTCAGCAGCCAGAGAACARGCTGCCCCTGCAGAGGTGTGTATGGACCTGCACAGACGTGGCGGAAAATACCGCTCTACCCTGTTTGTCCAGACCAGCGCAAGACTCTTCTTCCTCTCGCCCAAAAAATTCCTAGTCGGAGTAGCGAAATTCACTGCTAGCTTTTAATTTACAAAAATAAACGGGTGTTAATGACAGAAGCAATAAATAAGRAAAATCAAAAGATGCCATAATTTATATGGGCCGAAACGCTAAGATTTTGTCGATTTTTTTTATTCTTTTAAACCTAGAGTGCATGTTATGATATACACAGGGTGATCAGACACGCTAATCAAAAACTAGGAGAGAGAAGCGATATCCTCTCTGTTAATGTGCCTCATTTAATTATTAAAATGTGTTCCAAAYTAGTATTATTTATTATAACATACTATTGCTCTAAACACTTCGATTGCCATTGTATGTGGTAAGACATACCATAAGCCTAGTTCTCCATAAACCATTTTTTTTTATTCGTCTTAAAGTCAGCCATTACTTTGTGTTGGAAATACAATCTGAACTTCCAAACTGTAAACGATGTTGCAATTTTTTTTTCTCGAACCGTCTTTAATAAAACGATTTCTTTTCGCCATATATAAAAAGAGAAAAAGAAAATTCGCCTTCTTTTGTCGCAAGGGGTTTAACGGGCTTCAGGCTGGCCTGGGATCYTCTCAGAGATACTTATAAGTCGTCATTCCTGGGAAGTGAGAGGTTCATACAATGAGAGGCTCATTAAAGGATGGAGAAGAGTATCCGAGAGTGCCTTGTCGATAGGGAAGGGTTTTAGAGAGAAAGGAATGTTGTCGGCAAGAAAAACAGGGCGTGGGAAGTAGGCGAAAGTCTATCTCTCCCCTCTTCTTCCGAGCCCTGCTCTGCCTTCCCGGGGCCTGGGGCCGAGGCGACCCGCCGCCCCTTTGTTCTCCCCTTCCAAAACGCCCCGGCACTTGCCGGTTCCCCGGCCGCCGGCCGGGAGCGACGCCTCTCCGTTTTCTCCGCAACCGGCTGGCTTCATCGGGGAGGTATCTTCCGCCTCCTCCGCCCTCTTCCTTCCCCTTTCTACTCCGCTTGCACGTTCATGGCGCTTGTTTTCTTCGGACGRACGAAAAAAAATCCATTTCTGAGCAGTTCAGATTTTATAGCAAAAAGCATTTTTTTTCATTCTAGTATAAAAGGACACTTGTGGTGCGCATCATTTACGTGCCTGGAACAGCCCTCTCTCCTGATGCAGCCTTTTTTTCTTTGAATGTTTTAAATTCTTGTCTTCTCCTCCTTGGCACCCCCACTCACCCACACATACTGCTGTTAATTCTACGGAGGTTTTTCCTCCCACCGAGTCCCCCTGCACACGGAGGGCCGGGCACTGCCAGAGCTGTTTTGTTTCCCGGCCGCGGAGCTATCGCGGGCTGGTCTCTTCCTCCTTCCAGGCTTAACCTTTGGCTTTGTCGGGCTCCCTGCTTTCAGAAGGGGCAGCTTTGCCGCGGCCAAAGCCGCCTTCCCTGGGCAGAAGGAAACCCGAACTGTCTGGCAAATCGGTACCAGATGGAGAGGAGACGCTTTTTGGTTTCGTAAGAACATGCAGAATCCTTAAGAAACCGGCAGCTACAGGCAGGAGGAAGGTGGGGCGAACATCTGCCCATCTACCTACCGGTTCAGATTAAAAGGATTTTCTAAGCCTGGAGCTGGGGCATTGGTGAGCGTTATTCAAAACCTCCGTGGCCACAGCTTGGACTCTTCCAGGACATCAGTAGCACGTGGCCCCGGGGCTGGGCTGCAGCCGCGCAGCCCCAGTTGTAGCCGGCCACAGCCGTCCATGTTTAGAGGAAAGGGTTTGACTCGCCTGGAATGTAGCACACGTTATTACCGATAATTAACATGTACCTCGACAAGCTGAATTGCAAATGCGCAGTGGTGCAGGGATGCATTGCTTGGCTCCTGTCAGGCAGMGCTATTTCCCAGCCATGTCTGAGGCAATCCTGCCATCTCCTGGACAACCCCTGGCATAGGCAGGGRAAACCTTCCCCTGCCTCCGGGAGCCGCGGTTTCGAGTGATGAATGAGCGAGGGAGGCTGTTCGGTCACATGCAGAGCACCCTTCATCTGTAAACGGGAAAAACATGCCAGTGAAATTATAGCGTGTGGTCAGCTCTGATGTCCAGAGCTATCCGGATGCCCATTTAAAAACCGAGGGGGGGCGGGGGGGAGAGCCGGATTTGGAAAAAAAAAGAAGGAGGAAAAGAGCGTGTGAAAGCAGAGCTCCGAGTCTCCCTGTTCCTCAGTGGTGATATTTCCTGTACAGACACAGGCGAGGGGACACCCGCGGCATTAACACGCCGCCTCCCAAACCAGCAGCCGGCTGTGACTGGAAAAAGCAGCTCAAGTCCATACGAGGCTCTCTCTTTGCTCCCCTCGGCTCCGAGGCCAATCGCCTCTGGAGCAAGATGTTTCTGTAAATGTTTTTCCTTGTGGATTTTAACATTTTCCGTAACTGTGAGTGTCTCCAGCTATTCCAGGTTTTGGTTTTTCTTTACTTTTTTTTTTTTTTTTTTTCCCTCCGGTATTAATTAGCAATTACAAATTAGTTGAATATTAATTGAAAGCTCTGTTTTCTCTAACCCCATAAAAGTTAGTCTGAAGTGTCACCTTTCTTTCCGGTAACTGGGGACCTCACATCCATTCCTTGTGTTTATTGCGAACAAAAATATAGCCTTTGAACTGAAAATGTTCCTTTTCTAAGAACCAAAAATCAGGGTCAGCTTTTTCGTAAAAACTGATTATGAAAAAACACTCTTGCCCATCTTCTTAGGGAACACAAAGTCAGAATACAAATCAGCTAATAAGTGGGAGATTCAATTGGTAGACATAACTCAAACAATAAAAATTAAAGGCAGCGGTCAGCAATATCCTCCAGCGGTTCTTGTGTGGTCCTGTGTGGTCTAGGAGAGAGCAATCATTTAGAGATTTTTTTTTCCAGGGCAATGAAATTACTGCAGATTTTCCCTCCATTTCCCATTAAACAGAAAGATGAATTTGATTAGGAGAATGTCAAGAAGGGCAGCTTCTCTGATCTCGCCTTAGAAGTAAAACCAAGATTAAAACTATGATTAAGAGGATAATAACAGGGAAAATTAACCCTACATGCTAACTAGTTTCGAGTTTTTAACCGAGGTAATGAAAGTGAGAAAGACCCGGCGTTAAGGTTTCTCTTGACGCGGGACTCGCACGCACTAGGGGAGATAATCTTGGGAAAGAGGCCGAGGACAGAAATGCCCGGTGCGGGTGGCTGATCAGTGTCCCGCGGATTTGTGGAGCTGTGGGGCAGAGAGCGGCCGGGAGCGGCCGGGAGCGCGGAGCCCACGGGTATTCCACTCCTTCCCGAGCCTTTCACCTCCTTGCGAATGTCTTTGGGTGCAGCACTCAGGGCCTTGCCTTTTCTCGGAGGGAAGAGTACTGTCTCGCCAACCGCACGGTTTGGGAAAGGACACGAGCAATCTCCTGTGAGGATGCCCTTAGACAGGATTTTACTTACTTTAGGGCTATGGGGAAATGACAGAGATAACGGAATAAATGGGCTCTTGTTTGATCAAAAATGTATAAAAACCGTATAACTCCCAAAAATAACGCAGAAATAAAACATGAAGGTATGATTTTCTTCTCACGAGAGAAAAATTCCTCACACACAAGCTGGGAGAAAGCAGCGGGCTACCCAGCTGAGGCTGACTGTGCCCACTGCGGCATTCACACTCCCTCTGCTGAAGAGCAGACCCTGGCATTTTCTTTCTTTCTTGAAGTATTTCGATTTTATTTATCTATTTATTTAATCTCAGCGGGTTGCTCAAGTAATTCCGTGTTGTTGCTGTTGTTATCCTCCATTTGTTGATGTTTGTTTGATTGTATTTTAAAGACAAAACAGACTCCGAGTTTCAGAAGCGTTGTTCGTCTAGAAGTGCTTTTAAGTGAAGATGAAAGGCAAAAGGGGTAAAAAGGGCAGACGTGCGGACCTAAGAGAATACTCGTCATTAATGTGCCAGAATGATGATCCTGGTAATATCCCATCGATTAAGACTTTATTTTTTGCGCATATGCAGATGCATATCATGCAGTTAGGGGCAGAAGTACATATGTGTGCCCTAAACATTCCCAACTCATAGACATCACAAGTTATTTCCAGTCCTCAGTGCTCACTCTTACCGTGGGTATCGTTCTGGCCCGGAAGGTGCTGCCAGCCGGCGGGCACTGCCAGCCGGGGGACACCGCTGGCACGGGGGTTGCACCCGGGGCTGCCCTGTYCTCTCGGCAAATGTTTGTTTTCCTCTCATCTCTCCGCTGGCGCCGCAGCTCTGCCAACCCGCCCCGGCCACATTTATAGAAGCGGAGACCATGGTTTCCCCTCCTCCTTGCAAGATCGATATTTTCATATTTCAAGTGTTATCATAAGACTTTTAAAAAGTGGGGGTGAAGAGGAAGGCAAAAAAAAAAAGGGGGGGGGGGGGGGGGGGAGGGGGATGGGGACGGGACTCTGTGGCTAGGTCGCTGGAGGCGGTGCTGAAATTACCGGCTTTGAAGAACCTGTCTGCAAAGTTTCGTCCAATCGTTTCAGGCTTTCCGCTTATTCCCTGTTGTAACTAAATACCGCTGTACGAACAGCTGAAGTCCTTTGTTGGAAATGTGTGATCGCAGTCTCTACAGATCTGGCTACGTTGGTTCTCTCTTGAATTTGCAATCTCCAGATTCCTTTTATTTTCCTAATTTGCGGGCTAATGGCAGTCAATTGGCGGCTCTGCCCACCATTTCCTACCCCCGGAGCTCGATCCCCTGGACTTGCTCAAGTTCGTGCGCAGCCCAGCCGCAGAGCCACGCGTTCGGCGGCGCGGCGCAGCCTTACCTCCCCGGCTCCGTTCCAATCAACATCAGCTCCAACGGCAACAAGGAGTGCCTGGAAGACAACAATAAATATTACGCCCACGATGCGAACTCCAAACAAGAGGAGAGATGCAGGCAGAGGCARTCTTTTGCAAATGACCCAACTGTTACTCACACAGCCAACTTAAAGCCCGTAAAGTATGACCACTCTAGCCTGCAGAGAAGTTTGCATGGCTCGGCTGCTCTTTTTGAAGTGAATTCCTGCAATTCAAGCTTAAAGGAGGACATCAAGAATCCCGTCAACTTGAACCTGACAGTTCAGCCCGCAGCAGTCCAGTCATGCCTCCGACCTTCAGTGCAGGATGGTATGCCTTAAATATCTCGCTGTAGTTAGAAGCGACGTAGCTTTATTTTCTTTTTAAGAGATGCCTGTAATTACTTTGTAAACCTCCTTGTAACTCTTTCGGAGCGAAAATCGCTTAATGGGACTCGGAGGTTAGATAGAAATTGTGCYGTTAGATGTGCTTTGCCCATTTTCCGACCTACTTTAGCCCTGTTACCTTGAGGGTTTGGTTTTATTTTGTTTTGTTTTGTTATTTAACATATTCCTGTATTTGCATACCCAGACTTGATCCACTAAATTATCGACGTGTTTGTTGTAGGTTTGCCTTGGTGTCCCACCCAGGGGAGATCAAGAAAGAAACGGAAACCATACACAAAACAACAAATTGCTGAATTGGAAAACGAGTTTCTCCTCAATGAGTTTATTAACCGACAGAAGAGGAAAGAACTATCAAACAGACTGAATTTAAGCGATCAGCAAGTTAAAATTTGGTTTCAGAACCGGAGGATGAAAAAGAAAAGAGTAGTAATGCGAGAGCAGGCTCTTTCTATGTACTAGAGCAGAGTCCGCCCGTTCCTGCATGAACTTGTGCCCGGAGTGTTCACCCCTAGAGTAGAGCGTACGCGCCAGTGAAAAGCAGGGAGTGTGTCTTTTTGCCACTTAGACCAAATTCTCGAAATGCGTAGGATTCCTGCGTAAACTGGCCACGCTGAGTTCTTAGCCAAGATGAAGAAGACGAGCCGGACCAGCACGGAAATATGTATTAGCAGCTTTTTACCTTTCTTTCTCCATTTATATAGATTTTCTCCTGCATCTTACCCTCTTTCCACGGAGAACAAGCGGTTCTAAACTAAGATCGATTTCTTTTATCTGTATGTAAACACCATTTTGCAGCAAAATAAAGGAATAACGCCTAGTAAAGACGTCAGCTCTGTGAGTCCCGGCTGCTCCCTTCATCTGCTGCCCTGCACGCCAGGGCGAGCCTGCGGCGCCGGCTTGTTTTGTGGTTTGGAGTAACCTGCTCGAGCAGCGATGGGGAAAGTGGTTAACAAATAAACCTTTTTCTTTAATCTTTTTTTTTCCCTTTCCCTCCCCACCCCCACCGCCCCCCAAGCTCCCGGGGCCGCAGATCCGACCGCAGCCCGGCGGAGAGTGCACGTGACACCCGCGTAAGGCCCGCGCGTAACCTGAGCGCGGCTCCGCGGCGGCCGCTCGGCTCSGCTCCGCTCCGCTGGCGGCCCGCCCCGACGGCAGAGCGCGGCCGGGAAGCCCCTGCGTGCCCTCCGCAGGGCCGCGGGAAGGGCTGCTCCGCGGGTGCGGCCGACAAGTTCCTCTCTCGGGAAAAAGCGCCCCTCTGCCCCTCGCTGCGCTCCAGCCGCCTCTGGGGCAGCGCGGCGTCCCGCGGAGGCGCAGGGGGCCGCCGAGGCGGGCGCCGCTGCCTCCCCAGGTGGCCGGGCCGGGCCTGCCCTCGCAGCGCTCCTGACTTTGGCCTTGTCCAAGAGCTGCCCCAACCAGGCGAAAGGCGGCTGGCGGTGCCGAGACACAGGCACCGCGCTCGGCTGGGGCGCGGCTGCAGGGAGGCTGGGGCACCCGTCTCACCTCGAGATGCTGCAGGAGACGGGAAAACACGGAGCTTTTGGTGGGATTGACTGTTTTGCCAGCCAGTCCCAATGGCCGTTCCTGCAGAGATTTTTATGAGGGGAAAGTGAGAACCGGTTCGGGGTTTTGCCCACATATAAACCTCAGAGGATAACCCAACCAGAGGGACTGGTAGCGGCGTCTAAGCCGTTAGATCACTGGTTTGGGAGGAGAACGAGATCGATTTTTCCCACATCTTGATGACAAGCTTTCTCTGCCGAGAGCCGCCGGCCTCTGCAACACGAGAGCAGTCAGACTGGACAGAGCTCCAGGGCCAGAGAAAATAATATAATGCCCTAGTCTGACACCTCAGAATATAAATTCTTAAAAAACCAAAAAAAACAAACAAACAAAAAAAAAAAAACCAAAAAAAACCCCACCCTCGCGGATATTTAAAATGTCTTTTGCCTGCAATTTCCACCTAAGTCTTGGTTTCTCGACGAAGAGCGTTTCCACGCCTCCCAACAGTAGTAATAATAAGGCTGGCAGGGGCTGCCTTCTTTTCAGGCATGTAAAGGAGGCTCAGTTATGGTTGTTCGTGGCGTGTACAGCAAGGCTAAACAACCGCAAGAATGGYATAAAGCTGCTGCCTACTTACACGGGGCTATAGCCTTCCTGAAGGCAACAAACTCATTATTTCATAAAGAGTCATATTTAAACTTYGCTCCTATTCACTCCTGTGCTTGCAAGTACTGCTCGCGAGGGCACGTTAGTCCAGATGATTTTGGAGATAAATCCCGGATTCCTAGGCTGGCAGAGATGTAGCCATTTTCTCGAAAGCGTTCCAGAGAGCCCCAAAGGTAAAGCTTGGGTAGTGTTTCGGGGGGAGAAGGAAAGCTAGCCCAAAGCATTTGTCTCCGCTCTTACCGCATTGCCCAATGCAGACAAAACCCTACCTCGCTCATGGCAGGGCGGCTGCCAGTAGGAAAGCGGGTATGAAGCCTCACTGGGTGACAGCTCCCTGGGGGTCAAGGGATGCGCACCTAGCCATCCACAGCCACAGGAACCGCTCCTGGGTCCTTCCAAATCTTCGATACGTTCAGCCTCTGTGCTGGGAGCTGACGCATTGCGGACAATAAGGGTCTCTTCATCCAGTGGCATGCCCTAATTAAAAAAACTAGGAGCAACCCCAATGATGCAAGCCAGGAGAAAAGCAAAAACCAGATAAAACCCCTTTTCTTACCCTCTCCTGGAGTACTACTGAGATGGCTACAGTCCACGAGAAATGGACCCTTTATGCTGTTCTTCCCTTTCCTAGTCATCCCCAGTACAACCCGTCCCTTCATTACATGGGTGATATCAAATCCGAAGAGGAACCTCGGGTGAAAAGATGTGGAAGGCAATATATTATTTATTAAACACATCTGATGCATGATGATGGCATTTTGTGAAGCTCCTAGTCTAAAGCGCTYACGGAAAAAGAAAAGACAGAGGAGGTAGGATCTAAATTGTGATTTGTTGAGAAAGTCTGTGTATTATGTATCTCTGTGTGTGCCTGTGTATCTATAGGTGCATTTATTTCAGCAGTGCCCGTTGTGTGTAAGCGTGTGTGCGCACAGGCGTACGTGTTTGTGGGCACATACTGTGCGCAGACACATCGGCACTCGAAAATGGTGCATGATTTCACGCGTGCCCATATTCCAGCTTTCATCCGTGCCTCTGAAGCAGTGGGCGAGGACAGTGGTTCGGGCATGGGGAGGGCACATACTCGCGTGGCAGAGCTGCAGACGTGGGGCGCGCCCTGCCTGTGCGGCTCTGCCTGTGCACACCCACCCGAGCTGTCCCCTGGGCACATGTGTGCACAAGCGTGTGCGACACGCCGGCTGGGTGTGCGGGAGATGCACCCGAGTGAGGTGGATGTGCTCCACGCCCATCGATTGGATTATTTCGGGTGTCTTTYCAGGTGCCCCTTGAACCGTCTTTGCGGGTGTACGCGGGGTGGGATGGAGCAGCGGGCTCCCGCTTGCTGCGCCCACGCCCGCGTCCCTCCGCAGCATGCAGAAGATGGTTCATCCTTTATTTACTCAAACATAAACATCTTTGCATTTCCACCGCCGCTTAAACATGATAGTGCCCTTCCGAGGMGGCTCTCAATTCCTCCTCGTTTGATAAGGCTGCAAACGCAACTCGCCTTGTTGGGAATGGCTCTGRATGCCTTTGTGCTTCCTAAAAGAGCATAAATAATTAAAGTTTGGCAGAGAGGAAAAGCTTTCTTGCAGAACTGTAGTGGCAATAAATGAAATGACTCAGAATCTCTTCTCCAGTCGGTTTTTACGAGAGCTGCCAGACAGTGTCTGTTCACGTTCTCCAGATACTAGGGGCGCCATAACAAAGTTAAGGTCAAGTTAGTGTCTTATCTTGGGTGGCACAAAAATACCGCATCTTCTCCAGCCGGACGGGGTATATTTTTAAGCCCAAACGTTACGCAAGTTTCCTTAATTTCCACGGAGAGCATTTGGAAAATGTCTCTTGGACCCGAATACTTGGTGATTCCAGGCAACGAGTGCAGATGCTTCAAGACGCCTAACGGTAAAGTATTCGCCTGACCGTGTACATGATGTGCATTTATGTTTCGATGCTGTTTAATCTGCGTAAGGGAAAAAGAAAAAAACGGGGTGGGGGTGTTATTGTAATGTTCAGATCTGGGCTGGGATCGACCGACCCCCGAGTGAAAACGCTGTGGCAGGCAGGGACCCCCAGCTCTGCCTTATTCCAGCGGGGTCTCTGTTGTGATATTGGTCTCACATTTCCCAGATTAGATCTCTTCTTAAAGGACTGTTTCCTAAAAGGGCTTTCGTACAAAGAGATCGTCGTCATGTCTTTGAACTTGAATTAGTTGAAACCGGTTGGCTTTTGCGCCAAAATTTAATTGTTGCATCGAAAAGAAGGTGGAGGATTCTGGTTTAGACAAAATTAGTTGTTTGAACGGTAAAGAAAATAAAGATCAATAGGTTTCCAGAACCATCTTTCTTGACGAGATAGGCGATCAGAAACCTTGGTTGTGGGGGGGGGGCGCAATTCAAACGGAGCCTGCCCTGCTTTGCTGCAAGGTCCAAGGTAATTAGCGACACAGGAGCCATTTTAACTGCGCAGACATCGTTTTTGGGAGGTTGTTTTTTTCTGCTGCAGCGGAATTGAGATGGCTCGAAAGCCGATAAAGGGAGTGAACGGTGGTTCTGTGCTTTGATTTCTAGTGATATCTTGCAACTTGACGGACTCTATCTGGTGGGAACAATGTGTGACATTTGAGGTGTTTGGCGAGTGGGGCACCAAGGCAAAAAATAACCCCAAAACTGTACAAAGAAAAGMGAAAGAGAGGGGCGGAGGGTGTGGGTGGGTGGGGGGTAGGTAGGAATGGGCTCCATAATACCTGCCTGGGTTTGGTCTTTTTATTTTTAGAAAGGGCAATCTGGGCTGCGGCATGGAAGCCCCTTGGGCAGCCCTTGACTGCTCTGGGGAKCCAGGGGATGCAGGAGGGGCCGTGCCCGTGGCGGCGGCGGGGCGGGGAGCAGGGTGCGGGGCGCAGCAAGCGCTGCGGGGCTCCCGCCCCCGGAGCTTCTCCGCGTCGCGTAGCCGGGGGCGAGCAGGAGGCGCTTGTTGCTGCGGAGCCGAACCCTCAGCAGGCACGGCCGCCTCGAGGAGCCGGGGAGCCCACGGGCCTTCCTTCTCTCGGCTGGCCCGGAGTGCTGTGGTTCCCCACCTGCCGGGCTCTCCGCTTGCTGTGGAACCTGGAGGCTGCTTTTGTGGAGGTGATGTGGGGCCTGTCGACTTGCCGGAGCCTCCGCCCGGGAATTGCCGGGGTGTCCGGAGGCGGCYGTGCTCGGCTTGGGGAGCTCGCCCAGATTTCGGGTTTATTTGGAGACCGACATGTGGTGGAGCTAACCTGGCTACGCTGTACAGTAGCGGAAAAAAGCCATTCC